ATGGTCTCCAAACAAGATTTTCATCATATCACTGTGTATTTTTTTGGGGGGGGAGAAGGCGCCAAAAAGCTATTTTGCCCCGGGCGCCAGTTATGCTTGCTACTCCACTGTCTAAACAGTGACTTTATGCGAGTTTTGATAATGGAGAGAGGAAGGAACACGCAACTTGCCTTCACTTGTCCGTGAAATATCCCGTTTCTGCGACCGCAGTGTAATGGTTTGGGGAGCAATCGTGACAAATGGTCGCATCGAGCTACGTACATATCTTTCAAAGAGGTTCTGTAATCGCTCAGAGATATGTGGACGAGGTATTGGAACTCCAAGCTAGACTGTTTACGGGTGCTGTTGGCGCAGAGTTTTTGGTAATGGATAATCGAGCATTGGTTCAGAATACTTGCAAACAGAAGCTATCACTCGAATGGATTGGCCACATTACTCGCCCGACTGAACTCGATTGAGCATTGTGTGACATGCCATAAAGAGCCGAATTTCTTCCAGGACCCTTCAAGAGCTGAAATGGGTACTTTTAGAAGAGGGGCGTGCAGTTCCACAAGGGTTAATTAAAACTTTGGTAAAGTCTATGAAATCAAGACTTAAGGTATGCATATCTGTCCGAGGTGTTCATACATCACCATGTTAAAGAAACATTTTTTTCCACAAGAGGTAGCTTAATTTTTTCATCATTTTCCAATTTCCATAAATTTGGTTCTAATTTCAATATTTTGAGATAATCAACTGCTAAACATTGTAATTTATGTAAACTAATGTTTTTGCACCAAATTTATCAATAATTTTTAATTAAGTATTAGTTACGTTTTATTTCTGTCATTATCCTTTAACTTTGATGAGTAGTATATTTCTCATGTTTTCTTGTCACTATAAATAAAATATGTATTATTATTTTTCATAACATTCTAATTTTAAAATATACGGATCAGCAATTTTGAAAAGATAGCAACAGTGAGCTCAAATTAAATTCTGCAAGAATATAAATATGGTATAAGAAATAATAAGTTGTTTTGAAAGCAACAAAATTTTTTCGCTTCTATACTCATTATAGGGAGAACATGCTAGGCGCAACAACTACTTAAATGACAACCTTAAAAAACTTGCAGAGCCGAACGACGCAGGAAGCGAGTTTAAGAATTTGTAAGTGTAATTTAAATCTGCGATTTTTCCCTTACTGATCTGGTAACTCTTTTTTAATCATCAGTCCATATACTAATGCAAAAGACTGAATCGTTTGTACATAAAATGGCGTCTTACCTTGGCTTTGTATCTGATACGCTAAAACAAGCACGTGTCAATCATTTCCAAGCCGCATGGTAATGACGTCGTTTCTTTAATTTTCGTGGGCGTTGGATGACGTTCGAAAACCATATTCTTTTTCCTTTTAACATGACACGAATTATATTTGCCCAGATGATTTACTTACATCAGACCAACCGGAAAAGGCATCGATACTAAAAAGTATGATAAAAACCTGCTGTTCTTTAAAAAGTACTTAAAATTTGAATTCATCTAGACGCAAAGTCGGTTTAGGAGCCGGCATACCCGCAGTTCCGTGTGGCCCTCCAAGCATAAATATTAATAAAAGCTATGCTGAACTTCTCACTGAAACAATACCTTATATTTTTGAAATTCCAGTTCAGCAATTCAAAAATAACACCGCAAAATTCGCAACTGCAATTTTTTTAGAAAAATATTTAGTATTTTACAATCGAATCGACGCTCCAGACCAAAGGATTTGAAATTCATATTAAGTTCCTTGCTTCTGGCGGCAGTGATCCGACAGCAGTGTCTCCACAAGCGACTTTCATTGCCTCCATTGAAATGAAAGATCCCCAAAAATTCATGGATACTGTTGCTTCAGAATCAAAATGACGAACAAGTTATCCATGCGCACTAGAGAATCGTAAATATCTGATTTCTTCGGTTTGCTTACAGATGTGTGTTTTCACATTTTCTTACACTTTAACATGGACATTTTTATATTTTTTTCTATTTACAGTAATTTACATTCAGAAAAGAAAGGCGAAAATAAATAGCAGAGTTTCAAAATTATTTTTAATATAGTTCTTATTTTATTTAACAGCTGAAATCTGTCGTTTTCAAGAGGTACTAATTTTGTTTGGGAGAAATGATAAATATTTAATTCACTTTTAAAATATTACTGCCGCTATTGAACGTTGATATAAATAAGAAAGTAATAACATTCCTCCTCCTCCCCCAAAAGTTAAGACCTTCTGTCAATCGGTGAAATATTTCTAGGAATATTTATATTTTATAGTTTTAGAATTTTGAAATGTTAAATATAATTTTTAAAGTGTTCCAAACTATAACCTTCAGTTTTCAGATTCCATAGTTTATCTGTATTATTATTATTTTCTTTTTGTTGTCATTATTTCCAATGCAAAACCAGGCTTTGATTGTTTCCAAAATATTTTCGTACAAATTTTACTTGCGTTTTGTATCAGTTAAGGCAATATCCTGTACCCATATTTACAGACATATCCTATCAGACGAATTGGACAGATTAATTTTGTCATTTGCTTTTTTATTCATTTTCCATTATAAAAAAAATTACGTTAATTACACTAGTAAAAATTCATGTTTCTTCAGATGCAAACTAAAGATAAATAATCGTCAAGAAGGTCCACAAAGTAAAGCGTTTCTAATTTATAATTATATAGCACTTAAAGAAAAAGTACAGATTTTCCATCAGCAGCAGTATCGAGATATATGCCATTTAGAAAGAGGATTAAAATTATGTAAATTTGTAAAATTTTTCACGTATTTCATGCATGATTAGAATGACAATCAAATCAGTTATAAAGAAAATTATGCATTCATAAATATTTCTCCACTTTAAAAAACAGGCACATGTATAAGACACAATTTTCTATAGTGTTGGATGCGAATGAATGGGATTCCCAAGCTAAGGCCTGCCATTTCGCCGCTTCTCTGAGAGCAGACGCTGCGAATATTCTTCATACTCTTTCAGAAAACCAGAGAGTAGCTTTCGAAGCTCTAACCGGCGCACTGGTGCTGCGCTTTGGTGAAAAATGTTTAAAAGATAACAGCAGGCTTCAGTTAAAATCCCGTCAACAGAAGCCCACGGAAACACTCCAGGAGCTCGCCACGGATGTTGAAAGGCTGCCCTACATCGTCTTTTCAGAGTGCCCGATAGAAACAAGCAAAGCCCTGTCCCTGCAATAATTTATCGATGCAATCCGGGATCCTGAAATACAGAAAGCTCTACGAATGGCGGATGTCAAAGATTTGAAAAGCACTCTCTTTTACGCCTCGAAATTCGATGCAGCCCAGCAAGCAACTCGTAGAGACTGCCAACCAGTCAGAGCTGCTCAAGTCCACGAGCCAGTGGATCAATTAATGGCTCGTATGGATGATTTATCCAGACAAGTCAAATGCTTTGACACGAAGTAGGAGTGAGAACAAACTGGCTGTAAAGTGTTGGAAATGTGGTACTGAAGGCCACATATGACGGCACTGCAGACATCCCAGAACATGGAAAATAAAACAGATGATTTTGCCAGACAAGTCAGTGCCTTGAGACGGAACATGAATGAAAATACAAATACACCAATCCTAAAATGCTGGAACTGCGGTGTTGAAGGCCACATACGAAGGAACTGCAGAACATCCCAGAGCACGGAAAATAAGACAGACGATTAAATGCTATGAGATGAAAAAGGGAGTGACAGGAAACAAAAGTGCTGGAGCTGCGGAGCTGAAGGCCACGTACGAAGGACCTGCAGAATATCCCAGAGTACAGAAAATAAGACCATTTCCCAACAACGATGCAAAAAACAAATTTATGATCATATCGCGGAGCGGAGTTTGAACGACTGTGAAAAACCCTCTTTTAAAGCGCTCAAGATTTCTGCAGTGAGTGGCAGCAATAATGGACTATCCATCTACGGGCATATCGATAGAGTTTCTCGCAACATGATCCATGACACAGGAGCTAATGTTACCATCATTCGGAGAGATTTAGCTCAATAATTAAAGATAAATTCATTTGGACGCCATCCTGTGTTGCCCTCCGGACTGCGCCTGGTGATAAAATCGACATAGATGGGAAGTTAAACGTGAACATCATGTTTGGAAGTGCCACCTACCATCACACGGCAGAGATAACAGATCCTTGCATACTCGAATTGGACTTTTTAAGGAAATACAATTTTTTCTTGGACTTCAAAAACAACAGATGCTTTCAGCATCAGAGGACACAACTATCCATCATCAGAAGGGATTCTCACCTGGAAAAGCCTGCTCAGAAAGTTGCCGAAATCATACTCGGGTCAAAGAGAAACACCAGACTACCGGCTATTCCCCATCTCCAGATGATTTTTGTCTGCCTTGTGATTTTTTGTTTGGTTGTCCTCTTTATGCGCCTTCATCGCCTGAGAAATACATCCAAGATTTAATAGGTGGCCACCGTTACCTCCTATGAGAAGACAAACAAATTACATCCGTACCTTCTCCGACATTCAAACCCCGACCTTTCGGTAACACATTCAGAGTAACATATCAGTTTCCCGTCTAGGCAGTCTCTACTACAATGTATGTTTTAAAAATATCATTCTGTTATTTGCATTCCTTCCTGGTATAGCAATTTTAATGATGAACAGTGTATTTTCTCACAGAAAACATAAATCGGAAAGCAATAAAAAATTTGAAACTGTTAAGGAAAAACAGAATGCAACTGCAGATACCGAGAATTCATTAATGGATAATATGGAAAGAATAATATGAATTGGCTTTCTACAAATCTCATATACAATTTAACAGTTGGCAAATTTTTGTCAAAATTTATTAAATGAAATAATTCCCCTACGTTTATTAACACAATTAACCTTCTGAAATATGCATATACATGAATGACATTTCCTAAAATTCTTAGCTATTACTATATCTTATCATTATGGCCCAGCTGTAAAATACTTGGAATTAATGAAAAGATATGCCAAACACCATTACAGATTCAAGTGCTTTATTTTAGATTTGGGTGAGTTTTTGCAAACACACAATTAATGACAACAATATATAGTAATTTTGATCATAATTCAATTAAATGACAAAGGATCAAGTCCACCCTGCATTGTATCTTGTACAGTTTCACTGCTGGTGGAATAAGACTGGATTGCTCTTAGATTTCACATTAAAAAAAAAAAAAAAAAAAAAAAAAAAAAAAAAAAGTTTAAAACCTTACATAACAGTGGATGCTGACAGAACAATAAGCAACACTTTTAGGAATTTCAACTTCAGTTGGCCAAAGCATAAATCAAGATGCAGGAGTTATTACAATGTAAAACTAGATTTTTAAATACACCTTTCTTATTTAATTTTTTAATAATATTAATATTATGGCACAGCTGTAAAATTTTCCATCCAACAATCATAGCATTCATAGTATCCACACAATATTTCACAGCTGTAAAAAAAATAAAAGTATAAGAGCATTTTTACATACATCATGCATGTATATATTTTATACTAGCTTTGACAGGGATTTTTCTCACTGATACAATTTTAAGAAGGCATCTATTTTTTATTTTTTTGTAAATAGATACCTGACTTACACTGCTAATGATACACTAAGCAATAATCCACTAATATCACAAATTTTACACATAAAAGGCATACAGAGTAATTTCATGAGATTAAAAAACTAAGAAAAAATAAAGTATTATCTTCAAACGATTTATATTTATCAGAAAATAACCTATTTTATAGACTGTACTTCTAAAATCTAGCAGTCTTGGAACAGGCCCATTTTCAAACCAGACAGAATAGAAACATACCCTACAAAAATATCCTGTGCACTACGGAAAAAACTTGTCCAGCTCATGTCTTATATTTGTACTGTCATATCAAAGTTAAAATAATATTTCCATTATTGTTCCTAAAGAAGGTTCCAGAACTTTCAAATTCTCCGAGTTCCATTTTCAGTCCAAAAGGCTGTATCTTCTACTTTTGTTTATATTACACACAGAAAACGATCTATTCCCATAGTATCCACACAATATTTTTACACATGTTCTTTATATAATTTTGTCATTAATTCCACATTTTAATGCATATAGTATAATGACTTATATTTGCATTTTTGCACCATCTTTTACACATCTTAGGTTTTTAGTTAATAACCTAAAAAGCAACATTACAACTGAATACAACACTTGATATACAAATTTTGAATCCCAGTTTCTTAAGCAGGATCAATTCGGCTGCAAATCAACAATCTTACTGGTGGTAGATTCAAAATATGCTTGGTTTATGGATTTGCTAGACCACAGAGGATTAAAGAAGTACAACCTGTACTATCAAAAATGAAGTATATACTTAAAAAAAACTTAACAATTTACTTTTAAATGATATTAAATACTAGTAAGGTCCAGTTATACTTAATTTTTAATTTAATCTCAAAGTCATCTTAAAAATTAGAACAAGAACATAAAAGTTAGTAACAAGATACATAATGAACAAGAAACATTCATCTAAACTCGAATTGGACATAGTGCATTATAAGATAACTCTAAGAAAGTTTGTTTATCTTCCATAATGAATGATTTTAGATTAGTTCAATAAGATCATTACCTTAAAAAAAAAAGAGGAAGATTTCTTCTCCATTTCCTTAAGTAGCAGCAGCATATTATATTCAGTTTCCAGACTGTTCTACAATCTACTTGAAGATATATATTTTATAACTTTAAGTACTTTTGTTTCAAGAATTGACTCTGTATTAAAAAAAGGGAGGACACATTTTTAGAAACTTAAGATTTACATTGGAATGGGCAGTAAACATTCAAAATGCGTTCACATATTTCAGTTCTTGAATACTGAATGGATATTGACATAATTTTGGATACAACAATTATTACAGTGACAGACAAGAGTGTATGATTATTTACAGAAATCATCAGTATGATTTAAAAAGCTGCTTTTTGATAAATCATGTGCACTGAACAAATGCCTATGCAAAATTAAGTAAGATGCATTTTTCTGCACAACAAAAGAAACAGTGGCTTGAGATATTCATACAATGTAATTGTTTTATAATTACTAGACAATAAGATTTTCTAAACCACTGTATTTATAAAGGCAAGTATCTGACAAGACAGGTTTAGTCTTCCTATCATTTAAAACTAAAAAACATAAATATTTTTCTCATATTTACAGAAAACATCAAATTTGTCACATGTTAAAATCTTAAACTTCATATAAGTCCTTAAACAGGTGAAAACAAAGCAATCCAGTAAAGGGTTTAGATCACAACTATATTCTGCAATACATTTTAAACTACACATGTGAAGCAACAATAGATTTTAAGCATTCGAAACAAGGGGACTACACTTGATAGGTGGGTGCTCTATACATGCGCAAGTTCATTCAGCAAACTACTATGCTCATTTTATAGTAGGAAGAAGAGGGGCACATGAACAAACCTACAGTCTAATGCAACATTATCCAAATGACAATGATGAATAGACTAGTTACGGTTTTCTTACGTGCAACATTTTGATAGTTAAAGCTTACTTAACTGTACACATAGAAAGCATAAATCAAATACTTTTGCCTGCACAAAAAAATTTACAGAGGAATGATATAATATTTTTGAATTGCTGAAAGCAAATAGCACTGAATATATTTAGTTCATAAATGCAACAAAACTATACATCTTGCAAATGAATCATAAAATGTACATAAAATAAAAACTTTCATATAAACACATTTACAAATGCAGATTTGGAACAAAATTCTTGAATTTTCTTTTCCTTTTATTAACACACGAGTAATAAATTATAACTTTTACTGCTGAAAGTACAAGTTTCTGTTCAAAGCTAGAACAAGAAAAGTTCAGTGGTCGGGAATAAGGCAATAATCCAATAGCTTATAAAACTGGTAGCTGATGCTATGCCACTGACATGAACACCCGAACACTGAAGTAGAGTGCATCTAAATCATATCAGGTGTAAATGCACACATAAGCACTTCACCTGGAAAAAATTTAAAAAAAATCACAAACTGCATTTTAACACTGATACTCAAACACACAATATCATTAAAATTCTTACAATAGAAAAGTTCAACAAAATAGTAATGACATACTTCTTTATTGAAAAACCATGTAATTGCTTCTTTTCAAATTGTTAAAACTCTCACCTTTGTTGAACACTGTTTTGTTCATAGCATATTTGTATAACAATTATGTTGCCCAATATTCCACTTACAAAAATAATGCAATAAATATTTTACTATAACCTACATCTTTATACAATATATAAATAGAGCAGTTGAATTAGTTTTGCATGTCTAACAAAAACAAATTATCAAGACACATTAATGCATAATTGTTAAAGAACATACTGCCCATTACCTTCCCCAATGATTCTGCAAACACTTTTTTGAATTAAATTTAAAGCAAGTTTCTTTGTGAATTTCTTATTTAATCAGACTCATTTTCAATGAAAAAATAAAAAATTCTGGTCAAGTCACTTTTGCGAAATGAATATTGTTTAATGAATCCTATTTACTCAAGCATATAAGCAACAATTTTTAAATTCTGTAAATATATTCATTTAAAAACTGAGAAACAAGGATATGATTTGTAATCTGTACTGCAATCTCAAATAAAAATAGACAAAGAAATGTCTTGAAATGATTTAGCTATACCAAATAGGATAATTCAGAATTCTATTCTAAAACACAAAGATAAATCACTATTTTCTTTAATGCTTGGATGCAAAACGTATGTTTAATGACTATTTAGGTACACATATGAAGATCAGTGGACTCTGAAAGGAATCATATACTGCCAAACTAATATTAACTTTAATAACATTATGCACATTTTTTCCAGTCATTCGTGCAAAAGTGAGTGCTTTCTGCCTTGCCATGAGAAAATACAACAACTTGCTGAAAATAACAGAAAGACTTATTACATTAGCTTCACTGGTCTTTTTAACTAAATTCTACACTGTTGATACTGAAGCAATCTATTCATGGTTAACAATTGGTCATAAAACTATACGAGTAGAATTCTAATTCGTAACTTCTGAACAATATATTAATTGGTTTTCAAAATTAATCCTGCCAAAGCACTGGAAATGCTTTAGAAACCTCAAACACATTATTTTTTTATCAGTATCTTTATGACAATGAGATACCATCATAAACATGCAATGCTCACAAATACTGCACAAACTTACTTATCCTCCAAAGCTGAATGGTTTATTATTTGATAAAAATTTTAAACAGATATAATGGACTATATAAACTGATTTAAATAGTAACAGCTTCCACACAAAGAAGCTTGCAAGTTATATCAGTCTTCCTTTAATGATTCATGTCAAATGCTGGGAAGGTTCAACAGACAAGAAACTATAAATATCAAACATTGTTATTGTTAATATTAAAAAATTCACAGATTTTTCAGACACTTCTGAACTTTCTATGAAGCAAAATTTATGTTTCATTCATAATACATTATATTGTCGCACATTTCTTCTAAAGTTTGTATATGCTTCCATCAAACTAGCTATTATACTAGCTATAGTTTCCATCAAACTAGCTATAGGTTGGAGCATGTGCAATTTCACTGTTGCCTAGCTAATTAGAGAAATCTGGGACACTAAAAATTCCACAAAATTAAACATAATTAAACATAATAACATTTATTTTGGGTCTCATTTGAATACTATGACAACTTGAATTCAAGTTCCCTTACTTACTAAAATTTTTTATGACAAACAGAATTATATAAATACAAGAAGTATTTAAGAACTATGACTGGAATAATGCAAGACAGAAATACATTTCTGCAAATTTAATCTCACACAGACTAGGGTGAGAAAAGATTTGAAATTGGACATTTGGTAACAATATTTACTCTGTAAAAAACTCAATTTGCTTTATTCATATAAACCAACAGTGACCAACTGAGGGCAAGCAAGGCGCATGCAGTATATAAGTCCTTATCATCAGCCACTGTCACCAAATTTAAAATATAATTTAATGTAATGTCACTGTATTGAAAATATAACAGTACTATAATTAATATAGACACGTTTTTTTTTTTTTTACTTCTGCTTTAAACACTGAAAGGCAGGGAATTTTCAGTATGTTATATGCTGCGATTTTACAAACTTCAGAATAAATGTTATAATTCTTGAAGTTGTTTCATATATAAACTCACAACATTACCTCTCTGATTTTTTGCACAATGTGGTAAAAGAACTGCTATTCTTCTCTCTCTCTCTCTCACACATACACACACCTTTCTTCCAAAAAATATTGAAAACTGAAATATTTGTACAGCATTACAACAAGCAAGATGAATATTTAACTAATATTTATCTCAAAATCAGCTGAAAATTTATCCCTCCATAAGTTCCATACTTTAGTATACTATGCAAGGCTGACACTAATTTTTTTAAAATTTATTTGAAAAGGTGTTTAACGATTACTTATGAAGAGTTTACAACAATAGTTAATCGAAGAAAACCTAATTTTCCATCCAGTTACATTTCTATTTTCAAGATTAATGATATTTTAGCACTAAATCCAAGTAATGTTTTACTAAGTGACAGTAATTAAGATTGCTGAGTTAAAATTGTTAGTTTTATTTATATATACAATCAAATGTCGTTAATACTCCGGCGATTCCGGATTATCGATTTTTCCGAATTATAGATCATCAGTTTAAATCGCGTAAGATGGCATGCAGAAATTCTAAAATTTAAAAAATGAAACCGTAATTTATGAAATAAAGAACAATTATGATCTAAAGGGTATCAAAATTTACAAAAAAAAGCTTAATATTTATTTGTTTACTTTATTAAACATTTCTTTCGATGTAAGTTGTTTAAGTTGCTTCGTTTTATGTGATAATACTTTCTCTTTAATTCTATAAACAGACATAATTTTTTGTTCAGTTACAAAGTTCCGCTGTTCAAGTCCTGTTAATTGCTTTGCCGAGAATACCGACTAACTTGTCAATTGAAATGTTTTTCGTTTTCACTAAACTCTCTGTCACATTCTTCATGTCTTTATCCATTTTTTGCAGCAATTCCACTTTTTGTTTGACGGACATCGAAACATACTTTCGTTTTGTAGATCCTTTGGGAGCTCCAGATTTGGAAATTCTATTTGACATAATCGAAAGTTCAAGTTTACTTTTATAAAATTGCTCTTACAGTCTGCAAAAAATAATAAGCCGGATCCAATTCGAAGATTAAGGAACAACGCAATCATCAACATTAACTGAAATAGATAATTAGATAATTTTAGATTATACCGTCCATTATACATAAAACGCGCACGCGAAAACGTATTCTGCGCTTGCGCACATGCAAATGCACAGTCGTAAGAGGTCTTACACGCACGTGTAAACGCCTATGCGCATGTGTCAACGGGGCGCATGCGCAGAAAGTTTTTAGCTTTGAGGTCCGGATTATGGGTGTCCGAATTAACGACTTTTGACTGTAATAGACTTTTAGGATGACCAAGAAAAGGGGGGAGCCCCCCAAAAAACTAGAAAAGAGAATATTAAAGCAATTCCAATTTAAAATAAACTGTAGTCAAAATCACAGTTTGAGAAAAATAGCGTGAAGTTAGGAATGTCTGCTTTCTTTTCAGCAGGATTTCTTCCAAGCAACACAAGCCTGCTAGGTACAATAATAAACTGATTTTGGAGGTCTGATGGCAAAATAGTAAATGTTTGAGAGTAAGTGATATTTTTAAAGGATTAATCCAAATATATTTACTTTGCCTTGGAATACTGGTCACATTTAATACTGCAAGCATTTTAATGTATTAGAATGTATTAGAATTAAGAAGTTATACACTAGTGTGTTACAATGTAGCACTATATAATTGTTACTGTTTAGTGCTTTATAATTCCAATACACTATTCCTATAAATAATACATGAATCATTTGATTTGCATGAAAAAAAGTTTAGGATGCATTTTAAATTTTTGTGTATTTTGCTGAATTTGGACTAATAGTTTACAAAACTGAATGTCAAGACATTACACTTCTAGGCTGAATATTACCATTTAATGCCAACTAGTAAATCCTAATGATGCCAGGTTCAGTATAGAATAGTATTTAACTTCCACACACTTGAAAGTTAGATTCTACTATTTACAAATGATTGACAGTAGCTGCACTCCTGTCAAGTATTCAGAATGCATTGTAGTACTAAGGCTCTGCCCAACCTTAATACAGGATGTCCCCTATTATTTGTTTTGTTGAACTAAATCATTAAACTAACATACCATTCATTTACGTACTTGCCAACCTATGACACTAAAAAATCGAGAGACTTCTAAGAAACCAGAAAATTTTTCTCTCAACAACAATGTTTTTAAATGATAAAAATGTATTTTTTTAATATTCTCAACAAAAAAATATTTTTAAATGATAAAAATGTATGTTTTAATAATGAATCAGCTTTAAATAGTTACTAATTAATATCTGAAATTTTACCAATTCTTAAATGCAAAATACTTACATGTAAAAAAAACATTTTTGTTATTTGTATCTTTTAACAAAAAATAATACTTTGTACAAATGCTCTGAATAGTGGTAGATTTTACTTTGATTAAGAAAGAAACTTCATAATTCTGTTTATAGCAATTGTCGTGTAAGCCTGCTTTTGTTTTTTTAATGTGCCATTACTAATATTAGATCTATATTAAGTCCTTGTTTTTGTTACACTAAAAATCTTCTCGCACTCTCTCTGCATTACTGTGGTCAATTGTCAGGATGGCCAACATTATTCTATCTTAATATAATTCTAGACAGTTCACTTTAAAATTCCATCAGCATATTTCAGTTTTCCAATTAAACTTCACTGGGTGTCTATCATATCTGGTTTTATAACATTACCCAAGTTTTATAATTATAAACTGCAAAATTGCGACTGCAACTAAATCAGTTGCAACATCAATATCATCGACCTTCCTAAGTAAAATTGGAAATAGATTCAAAAATTATCTTAAATCAGAAAAAGATGCATTTGCTAGAGCAGAAACATCTGCAATTTTAGTATAAAATCACTTCATCATTACTTGAAAATTTATGCATTATATATCACATATTCATTAGAAGTAGCTTCTAACATGGAAATAAAACTTTTTTTTTTTTTTTTTGTCTTTCTCTGAAAGTTCTTTCACTGCTTTGTTAGTTGCAGCTCCTATTACTAAATCATCATCTTTCTTCTGATCTTCTATTTCACCATAAATTGCATCATATATAGAATTGGAAAATAAAACAAAGATTAATTTTACAAACTTTGATAAAATGTCTTTAAGGAGATCATAAATCATTGATTGCAAAACAGTAGAATCATGTTAAAAACATCAAATGATGGCAAAATGAATTGTATAAAAAAGCAAAAAGCTTTATTAAGGTACAAAAACAAAAACTAAATATTCATTCTTCACAAGATGAACTTACAGTAATCGGAAAATGTTTCCTTGTTAGGGAATTTTTTTTTTATTTTGAGAGAAATCTGTATCTTATATTTTGTAGTATTATTTTGAGAGCTGCCAATTTAAATTGCTCTGGTTCAGAAATTACTTTATTTTTCTCAAACCTATTTTTAACAGTGGAAGTAGTAACTACATCTCCATTTACTTTAGGTATTTTATATATTTCAGTACAGCCTTTTATCTTAACTCTAGAAGCATATACTTGTTCTTTAAAAAATAAAAGAAGTGGATTCCACTAGTCGAGGACTCTAGATAAACATTTCTTTAAGGATAGCCAGCATGTATATACCTGTTTCAAATTTTTTCATATTTCACAATATTATACAGCTGTTGGAATTGTTTCAATTTTTCCTTCCTTTCAAGATAATAATTAATATCAACAATATGTTCATCCACATTCATTGCCCCCTTTTCAGCTGCTAAATTTAAGAGGTGAAAGGTGCACTTCATAATTTGCAGATTTGAATTTTTCTTTTTCAAGATGCCTGCAACATCAGTCTTCAAGCCTACCATTACTGCTGTTTTATCAGCAACAACTGTTAAGCAATTATCCATAGAAATTGCTTTTAAAGTTTTAATAATTAGTACATTAAAGCCTGTCGACTGTCCTTCTAAAGTGGGGGGCAGAAAGTAAACGACTCTCAGTTTCTGAAGACACTGGATTAAAAAAAAAGAAACAACTGGATACAGTTTTGAATCAATATTATTGCTTCCATCCGTAGAGAGGCAGATTGAAACTGTTTTAATGCAATCAACTGAAGATATATTTTTCAAAATGATTTCTTTAACAACTGCATATGCTTTATTTCTTGCACTTAAGTATAGCGATGTCATTATCGCAAAACATTTTTCTAAATAAAGTTGTAGCATGATCCAATGCATTCGGTGGTCGGTTGTGCTCCAGTAAAAAGGCAGAGAACAATTATTCTGCATTAATAATTTCTTGGTCCTTTATTTCCACAAAAAATTTTATTTATTTCTTTAATAGAACTTATCTTTTTCTAGTGTTTTTGTGCATGCTAACATTTGAGAACATCAGCCCTTCCACTCTGTGAAATTGGAAAATCTTAATGATAAACGGTACACATTGCAAATTTATTATACAGGGTGTTTATAAAGTCCCGGACCCATTTTGATGTTTAATAACTCCTAAAATAATGAAGATATAAACAAAATTATGGCATTTATTGATGGAATAATTTATATTTTTCCTTTTCAGGTTTGAATATCTTTACTTTTGTAAATATTGTCTGTGTGTGTGGTTAATTTCAGATAATTTCATTTTCCAGTCTAAATATCTGTACTTTTCTAAATATCGTCTGCTTATTAATTGCATTTTTCTCTCTTTTGTTTTTGGCAACTATTGCAATGTTGTGTTCTGATATAATGCCGCTAGACTTTTTCCTTTGGGGATTTGTAAAGGACAACGTTTACAGGAGGAGAGTGTCGAACATTGATGACCTGAAAGCCAGAATTACAACCGCAATAGTCTCTGTGGATCACGACATGCTTGCCAGTACCTGGCATGAAATTGAATATCGACTTGATATTCTCCGTGCGGCGAAGGGAGCACACGTGGAAGTTAATTGACAAGGGTCAGGAAACTGTTTCAGTCTATCTAACCATTTGTGCTATTAATTTTAATCTATCTTTATTATTTTATGAGTTATTAAACATCAAAATGGGTCTGGGATTTAAGAAATACCCTGTATTTCCTTGAGGAAATAATAGAAGGAAAGTCCTCTATGTATGATTTTTGCAAAGTACATGAGTATTTTACATGTTTCTCAGAGACAACTAAAACGAAAGATTGTAATTTCTTAAAACTATTTCTCGAAAGCATGTGTACTCACACCAATCAACAATAAGATGAATGAAATAACAACCTCAATCTGCCTTTGAGCTCATTGGCTAATATATGCCAGATGGCACACAGTAATGCTCAATGCTCATTGAAGAACTGTAGCACGACATTTTCGGACACATGCGCTCTCACTCATAACGCAGAAGCATGCCAGAATTTCTCACTGATGAAATTACTTCAGTTTCCCTTTATATGTAATCTAGATTTAAAAAAAAAAAAAAAAAAAAAAAAAAAAAAAAAAAAAAAAAAAAAGCAAGTGCTTTCAGACACCCAAAATCATTTTGGGGGGGGGGCTACACGAATAACAAAGCCTAGCTACATAAAAATTGCGAGCAGTTTTAATAAGAGAATGTCGGAAGAAATATGTCGGAAATCGGAAGTCTTCCGCCTAAATCAAGAAAGTTAACAACTCTGCATTTACCTCAATTCAATGGGGTGGATTCATTCTTTCTGTCCAGATTGAACATATCACTTCACATTGGTGAATAATTAGAACAAGCAACTTCAAATCTCAATGACACTAAACTCACTTCTTTCTTAGACTACTTATATATTTGATGCTTATCATGCTGGAATCATTTTTAAACCACTAAGTAATTACATCCACAGAAATGAACAGATGAAATATTTCTATTAATTTATTCACAGGTTATGTTTTACACATGTACCTCTATATACAGGTATATATAGAGTATGTTTTAAATACAGTCTTTTTGTAAGTGCCATTTAAGATTTCACATCTGCATGAGAATGAGTGTGCATGCGTGCTCTCAGCACTTTTTGCACAGAATCTAATGATACCTGCATTCACAGTGTCAATCTTGCTTCATAGTATAAGACTAGAATGTTTAAGAAAATTGAGTGCCCTGCTGATATAATAGACAATCAGTCATCTGGTTTTTAACAGAAGAAATATGAAAACTGCAGGTATTCAATTCCAGATATATGAAGTGCATGATGAATGCACAGTGACAGTAGAATGCTAATATAGGTGAAATCCTTCAAGGAAGGTAAAAAGTCCATGACAAATTGAGCTCTAGCTGACCTTTATAAGCATTTACAATTTGGTGCTGGCAGCTCAGACCCAAATTCATGCAAATAGTAAATCTGAGCAAATGGCAAGGAGAAATGAAACCTGCTGATGAAGAACTGAAATGACTGCGAATAACTGGCGATCTCCACCAGAAGGGTCCTCCACCAGAAGGGTCCCCCAAAATCTTGTTATTTGTTGTGATAAAAGTTTATACACAGGAAATTATGCAGAAAAATAGCAAATTCTATGTAAATTCTGAAACCGATCCAAGTTTAAAAATTGTTTTTTTCTTTTTTATTGCAAAATGGACCTACCTTACTTAAAAATTGATCCTCTTATTATATATATGTATGCATGAAAAACTGAAATAATAGGTGACTGGATGGATATAAGTATGCTTTGTTCCTAAAGATTAAACAAAAATTTGCAAGGAAGAATAATTTATAAACAAAATAATGAAAACATTACTGCCCCTCCCTGTGTTCTCCATATTATGTTTCTATATATAAATAAATAAATATAAAACAATGAAGGTATATTTTCAATTTTTTTCAAATTACGAAGATTTATGCAAACAACATTAAAAATGAAGCTAATACTCACATTATTATTTGCATGATCCTAGTCAGATGGAAAACGTGGATCTCTGTTTGCTGATCGTGCTCTTGTACCCACTTTTTGCACAGGAATCATTGACTTAAGTTGAGGGCTCTTAGAGAACTTCAAAGTAGGGATCTGTGATTTTCTTTTTTCCGTTATTTCATTAGGTACTTGAGATGATGCTACAACATCTGGTGTCACTAACTTCATTTCATTGGAAGGATGTGTGTTTGTTCGCATCTGTGCTCTCTTACTTGGTGGTGTCTGAGATAAAGATTTGGTAGGTGTTTTTGGAATAGCTACTTCTTTTGCAACATGAGCTTGTCTAGGAGGAGATATCTCTGCTTTTTTCTTTGTTTTTGAATTACTTGAGATAGTGGGTTTAGCAGCTGAAATTTTAGGAGAGGACGTTTTATTTAGCACTTGTTTATTGATGCCATGGCTTATCTTTTCCCATTTTTGCCGCAACATTTTGAACTGTTGCCCTTCTTTAACATCTACATTTGGGGAATCATCAGTAGCATTTGAAGGTGATGGTGCATGATTTACATGATCTATCTGAGAACTGCACCCACTGTCTGTGCTAGAACAGAGTGAGAACTGTGGTATATCACCTTTTCTATTTTGATCGGTATCACGAGGAAGTAAAGTATCTCTAAGAAAATTCATTGCCATACCACTTCGACCACTGTGGTTTTTTTCTTTCTTATTTTGACTAGCAACATTAAATTCTTCAGCAAATTTGGCATTTGGAAAAGGGTTAATAGTTATCCCAGGCCAAACTTGGTTTTCATGGCACTCTTCAACATCACTCCTAATATTCATTACATTATTACATGGAGAAAGTGCCTGATGATGCTTAGTTTTCAGACTAAAGTCATTTATCTTATTCCCCATGGCTTGTTTATAAGGAGAAAACTGCAAATTAAGATCCGTAAGACTTCTTTCTTCATGATCCTTTGTAACTTTAGAATTATGATGGAATTCACCATTAGATGTTTTGAAATTATTTTCATTGTATTTTTTCCAGCTTTCTCCAGAAGTAACTTTAGTTTCAAATATCAAATCTAGATTGAATGGCAGAGTTGATAATGGACTAACTAGTTCTTTCAGCTCATGACGTAAATGAACTGCAGCTGGAAGTGCTAGAAGACTGAGCAGGGCTGTAGGGTGATAATGATGACAGATGAGACTCTGGCATGCACATAAGTGACCTAGCCACCATTCAAAACAGCCAAGACTAGGGAAAAAGCATTTCAGTTATTAACATGTGCAAACAAAATATGAAAATTTACAAATTTGTATCAAAACAAAACAAAATACAATTCACAAAGTTTTACCTAAATTTTAACAAGTTAATATGGGTCACACAAATAAAGTAAATTTATACACAGAAATCATCAATTATCTGTTTCATAATACAAATGAGGTAACATTATTACATACAGTCAAAAGTCATTAATTCGGACACCCATAATCCGGACCTCAAAGCTAAAAACTTTCTGCGCATGAGGCGTTTACACGAGCGCGTAAGACCTTTACGACTGCACATATGGGTGTGCGCAAGCGCAGAATACGTTTTTGCGTGCGCGTTTAATGTATAACGGATGGTATAAGCTAAAATTATCTAATTATCTATTTCAGTTAATGTTAATGATTGTGTTGTTCCTTAATCTTCGAATTGGATCCGGCTTATTATTTTTTGCAGACTGTAAGAGCAATTTTATAAAAGTAAGCTTGAACTTTCGATTATGTCAAATAGAATTTCCGATGCTGGAGCTCGCAAAGGATCTACAAAACGAAAGTATGTTTCGATGTCCATCAAACAAAAAGTGGAATTGCTGCAAAAAATAGATAATAAGGCATATCCTTTGTTTATCTAACCGTTCCGAAATCTGTTTATCAATTTCACGCTGCTCTGCGCGGGGGGAAGGGGGAGGGGGAACGTGGCGGCGCGCAATGAACTGGAAGTTCATCTGTCAGCACTATCGTTATCTTCAGGGCAGATGTTTTTACTTTATTCCGCTTATAATTCCTTATTAAATGTAGTATTTTATCTCGATGTACTCCGTCTTTGATATGATTTAAATCAAATTCCTCATCATTATAAATATCACGAATACAAATCAAATAGTTTTCTGGTGGCAATTTTCTAATTTCAGCTATGCGAAATGTATGCTTTACGCATGCGCGCGTTGGAAGAAATGTTTCATAAAGTAAACAAATAAATATTAAGCTTTTTTTTTTTTGTAAATTTTGATACCCTTTAGATCATAATTGCTCACTATTTTATAAATTACGATTTCATACTTTTAATTTTATAATTTCTGCATGCCATCTTACCAGATTTAAACTGATGATCTATAATCCGGAAAAATCGATAATCCGGAATCACCGAAGTCCCGACGAGTCCGGATTAAAGACTTTTGACTGTATATGAAATGTATTATTTCTTTTCCAAAATATTTTGAAAGAAGGGTACACAAATCTAATATTAACAAAACAAATCTGTCAAACTTTTAAAAACATTAATGATACATAAATACTTAAGTTACAATATTTATCCTTAATATCGGTTAACTTCTGTGTTCAGTGGTCCAGGAATATAGTCTTATCTTATTCAGCCACCTTATGTTTTCATTAAACAACATATTATTTATTCCTTTTTTTTTTTTTTTTTTTTTTTTTTTTTGTGAGGAGGGATTGCATTCAGTTTATCTTCAATTAAAACATCCTTACATTTCTTACTCATCATGGCAGGCATACTGAAGGCAATCTTTTAAAATCCTTTTATTTGGAATGTAGTTTAAAAGAAAACAATCACATTACATTATCTCACAGTACCCATACGAATTCTGTAATATTAATTGTGTTTTGACTTTACTATAAATATTATTTACCTCACTTGAAAAAATTTATAGCAAGAGGATTTTTTTTACTAGTTTTTTTTTTTTTTTCTCTTTTCATAGAAAGAATAACTGTTTATCTTTTCCACAAAAATAATTACTATTTGCAGAATTAAAGCACTAAAGATGTTTTTCCAGAAAAATGGGATACTATATAATTCATTCTTATGACAATAATGCAAGTTTGAATATTTTTAATAATAAATTAGATGAAGATATAATGTTTATAAGTAAAATTATTTTTAATAAGAAAACTTTGGCTTAAGTTTCTTATTAAGAACAAAATTAAACAATAAGGATAAAATACTTCCCCATTTTAAAATTAATACACTAGTTTCCTTATGAATCAATATCCATGTAAATAAATGCATGAAATATTTTAAAGATATATATATATATATATAAAACATGCCTTGTGTGTGCATATATATATATATATATGCATATATTATATATATATATATATATATATATATATATATATATATATATAACGTACCTTGTGTGTGCATATATATATATATGCACACACAACACACGTTTTTAAAGTAAGTACCATTTAAAAATTAAAAAGAAACAAGTAGAATTTTCTTACCATTTTAATTTTTATATGGAAGTCTGTACCTCAACCTATTTTTCTACACAATTTGTGCTAATATTAAGGCACTTATCATATCATATAACCAGTCTTTTGAAATCCCTCTTCAAGGCCCACAAGCATCCAAGTGGTAAAGTCACTAAACACTGGTAGTTTGGTCTGAGTTTCAAATCCTATGAACGGGCTGGCTGCATGGGCGTTTTCGTTGTTTTTCCCATGTGTAACTTGTAGTGAATGCTCTACGAGCCATTTTCCAATTAGAAAGTCCTCTACAAAGCCATCCCTCCCCTTAGCCAGATAGCCCTCGAGGCTTTCTCGTAATCACATAAACCAAACCAAATGAAATCCCTCTTCTTAGAAGTCTGCCACTTCATTTGACACCCACCGCAACATGGTCATTTTAACCTCATCACTGTTGTAATGACGAAGATGCTTCTTCAAATGCAGGAACAGGTGGTAGATCAGGACTGTATGGAGGGGGTGATTAAGTTGTTCCCTGTGAAATGACATGATGAGATCTTGAGTTCATTTAGCCACCTGTAGATGGGCGTTGTCATGAAGCGAAACAATTCCTCTACTCAGCATATAACACTTACTCAGATTGCATGCCACAGTTTGTTTAAGGTCTGACAATATGTCATAGAATTCATTGTGTCACCACGAGGCAAAAAACACACAAACAACACCCTCTTCCTCACTCAAAAAACAGTACACATGATTTTCGGGACTGGAACTGTTTATTTGAACTTCTTGAGTGATAATGACCATGGACTGCTGCTTCAATTCTGGTGTAGTGCCGGCTACCCATGTTTTATTGGCTGTGACAATTTAGCTTAAAAAGTCATCACAGTCCTCACTGCACTCCTGAAGGACAGTTCAAGTGTTTTGTGCATGTCTGTCAACATTTTTGGCACCCAGTATGGTAATATTTTTTTATAATTTAAGCGTTTGTTCACAATTTTACACAGAACACTATATGAAACCCAAGGAAGTTCATCAGATAATCAAAAAATCATAAAGTGTCTGTTCCGTTTCACTTATTCATCAACTTTCTCCACAATTATCTTCAGTAATGACAGATTTTTGCCCACTCCATTCATCATCATTAACATTTACGCAGCCATCTTCAGAAGCTTTAACCCATTTCTGTGCTGCTGTTTTGTTCATAATGTTTTTTTCATATACTTTGCTAATCTTATGATCACAATTTCAGCTGCTTTCAAATCTTTTGTACTGAGAAAATGAATGACTGATCACAGTTCACAGTCGGCAGAGCCATTTTAAATACTCAAAAAGAGATGCTAACACCATTAAAGTTTCCATAATGATGCCTGTGGTTTGCCAGCAGATGTTGATAAACAATGAGCACATGCAGAAAATCAACTGAAACACTGCTGTGCCAGAATTTTAAAAATGTATTTACTTTTAAAAAAATGCCTTGCATATATATATATATATACACACACATACATAACGGATGTGTATTAAATTTCAAGCAAAGTTATTAAAAGAAATTTTCATAATGACTGTTGCAAATTGGCTAGTAACTTCAAAACATGGACTCCCATTTTGCAATATATTTCTCCTCAAAGTGCTAAATTACCTCCAAATATCAAGTCTTCTTAAAGAAAAAAACAGAATACTTCCCCAAGAAACAAACAGAATACAAGCACAAAATTTTATAAAAATATCTCATTAAAAACACATAATTATAATTCAATAATTAATTAAATGTTTACACATTTCTTTTGCAAATGACTTCTTAAAACCAATCACATGCTTCTTACACAAGAGTATTTTTGCTACATTTCATGTATAAAAGTTAAATTTTGTTTAACTTTTAGATATTATATAAACCATTCAAGTATTAATGTATTCTCCCATTTTACTTTCAAACATTATTACACTTAGTATTTTCCCTCTTCAAATCAATTACACTTCCTTTTAAACTTCCTACATTTAAATATTTATCCAAGACATGAAAGATAACAGAAATAATGAATAAAGACCCCTGTGCAACAAGGAAAAATTTATTTCTTATGATGCCATACTTAATTTTGTTATTCAAGAATATTTTCATGCAAAATAAACAGCAATTAAATATCTTTTTACTTTTACGAAAACTTACTTCAGTAAACCAATGATGAAAGCATTAAACCGGTATGTACTGTCAGTCAATAACTTTTCTGAGTTCACATGATTAAGTAGATCCTCTACATCTTTCCTAGTTTCTCCTGCAAACAAAAAAATATCACAGAATCACTCTAAATATCCATCAGGATACATATGTTCATGGACAAACAAATAAAAAAAAATTAAGCTCACATACAAAAATGATGCAGTCTCTATAAATGAACAGATCATTGAGGATTATTAGACACTAAAACTATTAAATGTAAAATCAGGTATACAGGAGGTACTTTGTTAGTTACAAGCAAGAGAACATTATTTTTTTTTAACTTCCAGCATGTTCTGCAGAGGTTTTTATCACACTATGTTCAAAACATACTTATATACTTGATGTTTATATTCTACCATTTACAAAATTTAAAACCTCACTCTCTACTTTATAAGTACAAAACTATTTCAAATCTCATATTTTTTAGACAAAATATTTCAAAGCAAATTAACTACCTCTTCTCTAAAAAATTAATGGACAGCTCATTCCAAAAAAAGCTTATGGTCTAGTATGCAATAAAATAAAATTAAGCATATTATTATTTTAATGTAATTATAAATTTTTTATAAAATTGTTCTTGTTTTAAAAATCTCCACAATATAAGATATTGAAGACCATTAATATTCATACACTACCGAAAATGTACCTCAAACAGCCATGTATTACATGTATAACTAGCTTTACATTTAACTGCTCATGATTAGTGTTAGTACCAGGGCCGTTCCTAGGTCATTGGCTGCCCGTGTACTTTCCTATGCTTACCGCCCCCAAATTAAAAAAAAAAAAAAAAAAAAAAAAAAATATGCTCAATGATTTATGAAGTTTTTATTTCATACTCACTAAATACTCCCACATAACAAATTGTATAAAAAGTACTTACATATGACAAGTACTTACAATGAGTTTAAAATATTTAGACATAGTAATGCGACCCCTGATTTTTGCTGCCCGTGTACTTTTACGTGCTGCAGCCCCCCTTCCCTGCTAGGAACGGCCCTGGTTAGTACTAACACAATGCATTAAAAAAAGGCAGTGAAAGTAGCTTATTTCTTTAAATATTGATTTTAGTATCTACAATTACAAATCTTCCAATTACACAGTTTCTCGAAAAAAGTATAGAATTTTATGAGAACTTCTTCAGTGCTACGGTAGAAAGGTTTTGCAAATGTAAAATTTAAATGTTTCATCATAATAGCAACACAGTAAGAAATCCAATTAGTAAAATATTCATTTGCATGCTATTAATGTGAATAAAAAAGTTACTATATTTTAAAAGTCTCTACTTCTTCCTACAAAATTCAGCGAGATGTAAGCAATGAATAATTTCTAGGGGATCAGCTGTAAAATTATTAAAATTGGCATTAAAACTATTAATTACAAATAAGAATGATCTATAAATATAATAATAAAAGGTGCTAAAATAATTTACAAAGATGAAGTACATAAATTTTAACCACAGACCCGACAAAAGTAAAATTTTACATTCTTAAAATCCTTTTACTCTCAGTGCTGAAACCATTTTCAGTAAATTCCCTACTTTATTCTGATTCTGTTATTCCCTACTTTATTTTGTTATTTGTAGATAACCTTCTCTAAGATAACTGACCATTGGTTTAGAGGATTTTGGTCTTCTGCGGAGATGCTTCGCTAAGAGAATTAAAGTTCTATAACAAAGTTTATTTATGTTTAGAGAAATACTAGTCACTTTTAGAGATGGTCCCCACACAACGAGAAACGATATTTGAAAGTTTATTATTTTTTCAATCTTTCTCTCTATACACACATACTTATGAAATTTCTTGCTTTTTCCAAATCTGAGCAGTCATTAATAATCTTCTATCAAATTCTCAAACCCATTAAAATCTGACACTCATCCAGCCTTCCTTTTCCATTGTGCTAGCTTGGCAAAAATTAAGAAGGCTTCAGTTCAGATAAGATGGAAAGGTCCTTAAGTACTTAATTTAATATTTAATCAATCGCATATTAGAAGAAAAACCTTTTTATTTAATAAATTAAGTATAAAATAAATACAAATATTAAAATTTTAATTAAATAAATATATTACAATTTTTAAAGCAGGTGCCAATGACAAAATTGTCTGACATCGTCTTTTTATAATGAAAATTGACTTTTTTTATCATAAAAATACTTCACTTATAATCTTGGCTTAAATTTAAGTAATTCTGTCAAATTCAACTGCTAATGAAAACACACATTGTTCTCCCTTTTCAGAAACAAACTTTATTAAATTAAATAATAATTTAATTTTATTAAGTATTAAAAAAGAATTGATAATCAAGTTTCAACTTGCATAAACAATTGCTGAACGAACATTCTCAGCAGTAATATTTTGTAATAAAATGCACTCCTGATTACCCAATGTGTTATCAAATGAAAGAGAAGCACGGCAACATAAAATTAAAATTTAGGCCAAAAAAGCAACCTTTTCCTGGCACAGATTTTGAGGGCATTCAGACACACGCAAAAACATTTTTGCACTTGTGTCTGACCAGAAAATGCAAATAGGTTTTTTCCTCTCCTGAAGAGAAAGGAACCATGTCTGATAACCCTTATAAGTGATAAAAGCTTTTCAAAATCAATGTGATAAAAATCTTTTCAATTAAAAATGTATGAGAGAAAAAAAGTTGATTTTTGCCTAATTTTAATTAACACAGATCACCTTGTGCTTTTTTAATAATACTAGTTTTAAACGTAACTTATTCTATTTACTATTAATTAATTCTAATTTTACTTTAGAAGCAAGGTAATACATTTTTTTTTTTTTTTTTAAATATGCTACTTAACAGGTTGTTTATTCTCAAGTCACATTTCTTTTCTACTTAACACATATTTTAAATAAAAAATCTTCAATTTAAAAGATTAAATTGTAAAAATATACAACTTAAATACAATGTCAGCAATGACACTGGTCAATCCATGGATATAAAAATTGATTGCTTTGAATATCTTTTTAGTTTAGAATATTAATTCTAATTTTAATATTTGCTTAGGCCATGTCTCTAATTTCTACTAATACATTGCATCGATAATCAGAAAATGTATGCAATAAATAACATCTTAAAATATGTATTAACAAAAGAGGAGGCTTAAAATATAGAAAGATATAACATTGCAATAAAAAATTTAAATAATAATAATAATAATAATAAACATGCCTTGCTTGATTGAGGCCCCAGCAACTTTCCATGGAGAATTTGGTAATGGTCCAAAAAAGCCTTGTACTGATGGCAGGAGACCATCAGAAAGAATAGTATGAACTGCAGGACAAAGCCAAGTAAGAATTTTTTGTCCCATAGAGAAAGAACCACGATCCATCTATAAAATAGTAACTGCATTTAATATCAACAATTCCACTTATGTTCTTTCTAGATGTTTCTTACAAAATTACTTTGCACCCAGTGTGCCAAAAAATTTGTATCAAATAAAATAAAATAAATTTAACATATACATATGTTATCAACCCTAATATGGATTAGAAAATTGAGATAAAACTGTGATTTAGTAATACTGAGGTAAGTAAATATATGACCAACTAAAATATATAATTTAACTTGCAAAATATATTTAAATATTTTATATAATATAATTGATATTAATAATTACAAATGCTAGTAATATTTAAAATATTTCATAATTTATCAAATTCTGAAGTCAGAGTAATAAAAAATGAGATGTGCAAACCAAAGTACCCCAAAAAAATCACAAATATCTCTAAGATACTATAAACAATGTAAAAATAACACACAGTGCTGTTCCAACACCTTCTTAAACAGAAGCCCAACTACGAGATCGTGACGTCACAAACTGGCGGCTGACAATCGCCGTTGGTCACCTACTACCTGTCTTTAAACTATATATGTTTTTAAAGCTTTACTAACAGAAGGGTATTTTCTAATGATGTAGATACATATTATTTTCTTTTTTTACTTTATATATATTGAAAATATATATTTTCAATTCATTCGCGGATATAATATTGGAAACATTTTCCTTTGCACAAAAAATATATATTATTAATTTTTTTGTGATCTTATATTGTATGTTTACAGTTAAAATAATGCTTTAAAGTACTGGTTGACTTTTGATAAGGACTTGAGTGGTAATGTTGGAATCTCTCTCCATACTAATAATATTCAAGTCACTTAACTGCATAAAAATATATTAAGAAGGATGTGTGGAAATATTTTTAAGGATATATTAGAAGTTTTTAAATTTTAGCAGGGTAGATTTATAAGCACACATATTACACGAAAAACCTAAATTTTCTAAACCTTTTATTATTTTCACAATATTGAAAATTGAATATACAAAAATTGAGCTGATAATGATTCTACTGGGACAATACTTATAACATCCTCACATGAAAATCTTAATACTCTACAGCATAAAAACACAAGTAGAATTAGCAGCGTTTTCACAATTATATTTTGCTACATTCCTGTTATATTTTCACCTTTGAAATCTAAGAATGGCTTAATGTGAATTTCGTCAACAAGTGACATATTATCGTTTTCGTCTAAAAAGCGGATTTTTTTCCTTAGCATAATTCAGGAAATTTTCAGGAGTTTGCTCCACTTTAGATCAACATTATATTCAGAATACATCTTTTCAATGTAGAAGGATGTGGCAAAGTAACATATGCACTATTTCTTAAAAATTTATAGCAATGTGGAGAAATTGAAAACATCAAACTTGATAATATTAACAGATCAGAACTATACCTATTATTTTTATGCAAAACGAGTAAGTGTCAGCTGCTCAAATATAAACTGAACTACTTCTTTTTTATGTTCAGGGGCATTTTTTCTAATTCACGAAGGCCTTGAGTTACGAATAATAAATTTTTAAAGCTGTTTTCATTATTATCACCTTTAATTTTTGCAACTTCTTTAAGCAATGAACAGAGATTATGCACATCATTAATTTTTAAAGGGAATTCACGGTTACTAATTTTTGTTAATGGAATATCTCTAAAATATGCTTCCACTTGCAGATCATCATGGATAACGACTGATGCAGAAATAAAAGGAGCAAATTCTGTGCTTATCTGGAGAAAAAATATACTATTTTCTTTAATCACAACTGTTAAATCATCAGGTATCTTAACCATTTTTTAGACATGATGAAAGCTCACTCAGATTACTATAATTACCTAATTACTAATTTTAAAGTAATAAAAGTAGGATTTCTAGTAATGCAATTTATATTTTAACAAAACAGGTAATAGCAAGCATATGTGTGTTTGTCTCCCACTCGGGGGGGGGGGGAGGAAAGGATTCTTAGTAACATAAGTTTTAATAATTGAATTTTCATGCATTAGGAATTTAAATTATTTCTTGTTTTATGCAAAACTGTGCACTTTATATTACAATTTAAAAAACCATAAGCATATTATTGTCTTCACAGTTTCTTTAGAAAAACTTTTAATACCAAAATATATTAAATATTAAGCTAAATAATTTCATTTGCTGCCATATACATATGAAGTTAAAAGTTCCAAGTTATAAAATTAATCAAAAAGTAAAAAATTGGACATTTTTTAAAAAGTAAGTAAATATTTAGCATACAATTCGATACATAATTATTAACCATACAATTCGATACATAATTATACTAATCGATACGTAATTACACAATATTATATACAATGTATTCTATAAAAATGAAATTCCTTAATATTAATGTATCCATCCTTTTAAATGTAGAAGCAAATACCTTAATAAATTTAAAGTTCAATTTAGGCTTAACTTACCCGAGAATACTTCGAAATGATAAAATTTTCTCGCGGTATCGATTTTAACCATCTACGTAATACATCTTGTTGCTTAGGAAATCTATATACTGATACTTTAGAACCATTACAATAATTTTCTCGCCATAATGGCCCACAGCACTTTAAAGGCATGATTGAAATAATAAAAAAAAATATCAATATCAAATTAAGGCAACATGGTTCACGCGCCTTCTCACGACCAAGGACGAAATTCCCCTAACTTGCTAATGCCATCTAGATGGCCTTGGTTTAGGGGCGATTTTTCGCACCCCATCGAGAAGGCCAACAGTTTGTGACGTTACTAAACTACGAGCCTTCAGTAGGGAGGCTTGTATTTAAGAAGGTGTTGGCTGTTCTCAGATATACAGGGTACGTCAAAATAAATACAGCGATTTCAAATGGCTATAATTATTTATTGAAACCAAATTTATCTTTAAGATTAACACATAATGTAGAGGGAACTTCAAAATTTTGTATACATACGTCATAAATGTTCTACGTGGCTTCCCTTGATCACATGGACAACATCTAGGCGGTAGTCCATTTCACGCCATACATTCTGAAGTTTCAGTCACCGACGCAAACGCATTACAAATGCATACTTTGAGTTCTTCAGTTATTTTGGACATGGGAGGCACAAACACCTTGTCTTTCATAAAACCCCATAGAAAAAAATTGCACGGTGTCAAGTCCGGAGATCTCGGTGGCCAAGAGTAGAAGACGTTGCCGGCAGCTCCACTTCGACCACACCAACGCTTTGGAAGATGTAGATTTAAAAATGTGCGAACTCCATACTACAGAGTGGGGGTGCTCCATCTTACTGAAAGATGCAAGCCGTGGAATCAGAGTCTAGCTGTGGCATTAACCATACCTCAAGGATGTCTAGGTAAACATTTAATGTTACACTTTGCTCACTGAAGAAAAAAGGGCCGTACAATTTATATGATGAGATCCCACAGAACACATTAGCTTTCGCTGAGTCACGTTCATGTTCAATTACAGTGGAAGGCTTCTCTGTACCCCACATTCATATGGTTAACCTATCAGGTTCAATGTTTCTTCTAACCTTCTTCGGAAACATACAATGACCTGACTAGAACAGAGAGCTTACTAAAGCTATGTTCACTAATTGTAGTAAGTAGACAGGATACAGACGAAGGGTATACAAAACCCTTTATTTTTCTTATATTGACTTCCGTACTTCGGAATACCAATGACCCTCCACTCGGGGTCTAACGTAAAAGATATCAAAATAAAACTAAACTCTAATTTAACTTTAGAATAATACACGTGTAAGATTGGCCTTATAATAACAGGAAGTGTATGTAGCACAGAGACTGTGAACACTACAATACGTTTAATTTATCAAGAGGATTAATACCTCTGGCCTGGAAGGCAAATAGCAACTGCGTAACTTCTAAGGTAAGCGGCCTGCTTCGAACTCACTGCTTCCTCACTCTCTTGCAAAAAGCCACAACTTAAGTACTTGGCGTTCGCCAGACAAACTTTGCATAAAAACCTTCACGCTTATAATTCTGGCCGGAAGTAGAAAATAAGAAGTGATAGTAAAGATTTAAAATAAAATAAACGTTAGTAAAACTTAAGATCCTTACAAACCTTCCCACTTATATGAAAGGTTGATTCATCGCTGAAAATGAGACGATCAGCCATTGTTTCATCCTCCATGCTTTCCAGCATAAATGTAGCGTAATTCATACGTGTGCCATAGTCTTCCTGTTTCAATTGCTGCACAAGTTGAATGATGTAAAGGATCATTTGTAGCCTCTTTCTGAGAACACACCATACTGTTTTTTGTAGCATTTGTAACTTTCCACTGCCTTCATACGTGAATTTCCGTGGACTTCGTTCATACATGCGGTGAATTCTTTCTACGTTATCTGCTGAAACACATAGCTTTCTGCTACTTTACCCCTTTGCACAAACATCCTCTTTCTTTAAACATCCAATGCCATATGCATATGTCGTTCGCATTTGGAGGTTCTTGTTTGTAACACTGATGAAATCTTCTCTGCACTGTTATAATATTATGACATTTTTCAAATTCTAACATGCAGAATGCTTTCTGCACGGGACTCACCATTTTTACTAATGAGATACCCGCAATGAACAGGTTTCTTGTCGTTGCGGTTTCGACTCACATGCATAGGCTTCCGCTTCATTGCACCTGCGCCTTACGTAAAGAAATTTTGTAGTTCCGTCTACATTCTGTGTTACTCTTATCGATAAATTCTTTCCCATTAAATAATTATAGCCGTTTGCCCGTTCGCAACTGCTACATTCATTTCGACTTACCCCATATCATAAAGGAAGATTTCATGATATGTTAAGTATTAAATCTACTTATTAAATTATAAATTATTAACTTATTATCTTATTAAAACTTTTACCAGTAAAAAAGAGAAAGTATGAAATCTATACACCCAATAGTTATGCACAACAGTTATCGATGTTTCAAAAACAATATTTGCAAACTCTTAAAGGACAAAGTCCATGAAGCATGAAATGAGAAAGTATCAATATTAACTACATGATCCCACATATTCTCACATCTAATTCCAGCTGAGAGTTCATTAAAGAACTAGAATATATTAAACTGCTAAAAAAACATGTGTGACAAAATCTGAGCTGTAATCAATAATGTGACAACAAAAGTATTTGTGAGTTGATAGTTATATAAATAGTTAATAAATTCACATAAAGAAGCTTGTTTGAGATCTTGCATGTGGAGGAATAATATTTAATAGGGTATTAATATTCAGAATATATGATATTTTATTAAACATCTAAACAAACGGTCAGCATAACTTTATTTCTGATCATATATTCAAAGAATAGCAGAAAATGAACCACTGACAACAGAAAATGAATGGGTTTATTCTAACTTATGCAGCAGATTTAATTATTCGATATAAAAAATGCAAAACATCAATTAATTAAACTTGTCATATATATGTGGCAACACACTAGTTGCTCGTTGAACTGAACTGAAGTAATCACCAGTTAATGTTGGTTTGTAATAAACAGTGTGTTAATGATGCTGTAGTAATGTCACTTATTTATTGATCAAGTAATATTAATATGAATATAGCAAACCCCACATATTATTTCATACTGATCTGCCCTGTTTCTAAAATTAGTATGTATATTATTTCTAATAATCTGATACCACATTGCATAAATTTAAAATTCACACCGTAAGTGCACAATAACTAGAATTCAAATGTCTCATATTAATTACTCCGAAACATACCAGTATTATTACGACTATATAAATTGTTTGATAATTACTTGCAATTACAGTTAGCAGTACAGTAATACAATTTGAAAAAAAAAATTTAAACTTTACATCATAATAAATGTTAAAAAACTTACAAAATGACAGTTTTAGCAAACCGTATGCAAGTTAGTGATTCTCAAGAAAACCAATGGATAGTGATTTTTTAGTATAATGCAATGTTATGCAGAAAAATAAAAATATTCGGCTATAGATATTTCTAATATCATAAGTCCTTGCTTCCCCCCCCCAAAGTTAAAGTTCAGATTTTCTAGAGGTATTTAAACACTTGAAATCAGTAACAGTTGATTTACTATATTAAAACAGTAAAATTAATACTTAACAGCCAAGTTATTTTGTTTTAATGAACAGCTTTATTACAGCATATCATGCTCCTGAGGTCTGATAATTAAATGTGTAAAATAAATCTATTGTTAACTGTAGCAAGAATCTGTAACAATATTTACTTTTAAAGTGCTTAAAATTTTAAAATGAAACTTTATAATTAAAATAACTTCTAATTTATAATTACACTATAATACTTTATACTTAAATTTGTTTAACGTTATTTGTTTTAATGACAGCTTTATTACAGCATTCATGCTTCCGAGGTCTGATAATTAAACATGTAAAATAAATCTAGAAGAAGCTGAAGCAATATTAACTTAAATTCTTAACTCTTATATACATACAAAAAAAAAAAAAAAAAAAAAAAAGAATTATAATAATCATATCTATTGTTATAGTACGCAGCATTTAAGGAAATCAGAAACACAGGAAATCTTAATCATGTAAAGGGTCATTAATTTATTTCTTAGTGTTTGATTTCCATTATTTGTCAGCATTTATACTGAGGCTTTAATACTCCAAGATAATGAATTTGCTTCTCAACAGAAATAAAACTAAAAATTTCGATACACTTTCTGCTCTTTTCCAACTTTAAATAATAATCCAAAGAAAGAACAGAATGAATACTAAAACAATTAGCTTCAGCATGCTCATTGATGCTGAAATGAATAACAGCCTATAAGACCTACTGAGCTAGAAGATGTATAATAAATACAACTGAATTATCATGCAAAAACTGCTAATAAAATAGACTGTCTGCTGGATATTTTTCAGGCCTTATTTAAAAATGAAGACAAAGGCTACTATACCTAAATTCGAATTGTAATTATAACATTTTAATACACAATTCTGAGAAAATATTTTGGGCAATTTATACAATGCTTCTTTGTCTTCTTCTTCTTTTTTTCTTTAAAAAAAAAAATTCAGTTTTAAAAAATGTAAAAATGAAACATGAGAAGGGAACATTTTCTGGTTTCATAAGTCAGATGATCTGAAGTAAAAAACATAATTATTTTTAACAGTTCATTTTTAAATAAATAAGTTCAGCCTATTAATAAGATGTTCCGATGATCCTTTACAGTGCCATTATTACATTTATTTTATTTGAAAAGACTTTATAAGAGACTAAATTTAAGAATAAATATATTAAAATAATAAACATGTTAAAATTTTTAAAAGAATAAATTTACAGTTAAATATACACAAAAAATGCCTTTAGTAATAATTTCACATAAGAACGCTGAAAATGTGAAATCAATATCTCCTACTAAATGTGGCATCAAAAGAATTTTTTTTTCGCTTACCCCTTTCTTATCTGATGTTTTGTAATGCTCAAATATTATTTGTGTAGCTTTTCTCAGATTTTCTACCAGTCCTAGAAGAGGGAGGAAAAAAGAAAACATTAAAAAGAATTTAATAACAATATATTTAATATTTCATCCACAAATGCTTAGTTATATGATGGTTAAGAAATGCTAATGCCGCAATAATAACTTTTATGTAGAATACATATTAATAATTAAATCAAAGACATCTAATAGCATTACAAGATATTAGTTTATTTAACAGTCTAACAATCTGAATTGAAAAAAACCGCAACACTCCGCAAAGTAACAATGCTTTGAATAGCAAATGCATCATAGGCTCCACTACCTGAAATGTATTATTCATTTTTGACTAGCTGCTCATTTAATTTGACTGCATACCAAGAGTTATTAAAAGTTTTATGAAGGTATGATTACTTGTACTAGAATTAGGTCAACAAGTTTTCACACATTGCTGATGTATTTAGTTTTGTTGGGTATGCAGTAACAAAAATGTACTACATTTATTACACATGGCATTTTTACTCATAGAAACTAGGTCATTTCACTTGCCATCAAAGATGAAATTTGCCCTAAATGATGTATGACTGGTAACGAATCATAGACAGGGTACTGCTACCAATTTCAAAGCAGATTCTTCACAAAACGTGTCAGTCACAAGCCAACCTGTGTGCCATTACTGATACATCATTGCAGAATTCAGTAAAAGGAATGGGCATGAAGATAGCGGACCTGGATGACAGAAGAACTGCATTGAATGACATGGCTTGAAAATCTAGTATATTTCAGTTGTTTCTCACTGATAAGCACTTTTGAAAGTGACAAAGACCAATGAAATTATACAATACAACATGTCTTCGTGGTACAGTTTCAACAGGTCTAGCTTTTGTCACAGGTTTGTTACACCAAAGCACATTAAAATCGCTATACCAAGAAGGAAGAACATAACAAGCATCACACTTGCATGAAAGGTACAACTTGATAGGATATGCAAATGATTAGCATTTATACAATACAAGCAAGAGTAATGACATCTCAAAGCAGTACATAAAAGCAGACTGAAATATCAATTTTTTATTTTGAAAATGCATTTACTTATTGCTTTTTATGTTGGAGGTCATATTATGCTTCATGTATGAATAAGAAACATGCTTCAAAATTCGATATGGAAGAATTTACTTACTGGGATTATGGGTTATAACATGCAACTACTGCTGGTGCTGATCAAGATCCAATGACTGTGCACACTCATCAGCCCAAGATAAAAATCTCATCCACGTAGCTGTTAGGATTGTACAACCACATCACATATACTGGGTCAGGAAACTGTATGTATTGCACAGCACCTGGTACTTAGTAATATACAACATCTACAATCAATGCTGCAAAGTGATCACTGTTTCAGTTTTTCTTGAAAAAAGAATACAGCACACCAATCAGTGCTTATAATGGTGCATTCAGTGATGCACATGAAAAGTATCAGTGGCGTGATGACGCCTTTCCAATGAATTTTACTATTACTTACAGCATTCAAAACGATCAGATCTGTATGTTGAAGCCACTGACAGAAACGGAAAGCTTAATATTCATCCTCATCACGCCAGCTCAGCACCTGAATTGATACTATGGGGAATATATATCTCATTCCTTTCTAGTTAACATATCTGACACTTTTATCAACTGCCCTAATGATACTGAGGTGTTAATGTTTGTGGTTGTCCCATATCTTCTAGACCAGTGGCATTCAAACTATGAATCATGGCCCTAAATGGAATCACAAGAATTTAAAGAATCATATCAGAAAGTGGTTAAAAATCCTAAAACATCTGAATTGATGGCATGTAATTAAGGGTCGGCACTTTGGCTGGGGCCACAAAATTGGTTTTCAGGATAGTAAGCATTTTATGGGGTTGCACTACCATAACATTTGAATATCATTGTTCTAGATCTTCATTGCCCCACCTTTCAGTCGACAATGTGAGACAGCATGCTATCCTAGATCCTATATTTCCATGCTATGTGTCCTTGGTTTTTCAATATAGATGCTATTTAACAATACAGAGAACTGCATCTCTCTTACCAACTGAAAATGTCTCGTAATGGTTTCAACTGAAATATTAACACCCACCAGCCAGTATGATAAATGAACACTGACATAGAATTGGAAGCCATATGGATAACAATATCTGTAACTACCACCCAAAGTCTGTTTGATTCCATGTCCAGCTGCTATTTATGCCAGAGGCAGATGCTCAGGATAATGATTTCTGGATGTCCTGTACCTCAAAGTTATCTGAAACTTTAATGATTTCATTCTTCCATTATAATGTGTCTGTACAATAAATGTGATTCTACTAACTGTTTTCCTTAATGGTTTAGCAATTTTAATGGAGTTTATTTCCCTAGTCTATGTGGTTTGTACAATATAATTTAAACAAAGTTTTCTTAGAAACAGTACACATTTTTAAGTACTTCAATGTAGCTAAATGTATATGATAAAAAAACGTGTCTTACCAGTTTTTCTTCGAAGTGCTTCTTGGAAAAACTTGCCACCACCAGAAAAATTCTGCAAGGTATACGAGTCTGAAATATCAGGATATAATAAAGAATTCTGAGTAGGAGAAACAAGAAATTCTTGAGGTGGCTTGTCTGATTCTAGGTTACAAATATCACATGAACACTGAGAACCATGAAATTCACCTAAAAATAATAAAGGTAAAAGTTTATAAAAAAACTAATAAATTAAAATGTGTTAAAAATGTATATAATATGGAAGAACAGAGAAATGATATTAACCACTTGCGCTATGCCTAAACTTCACGGTTGCTGTGCCGTGCGCTACAATATAACAAGCGGTAAAGTGTCTCATTTATGCCGCTCCACGTCTGCGAGTGCAATCCAGAGCTGTAACTCGAAAAATAAACAATCTCGTTGTTAGGTGATGTGTACACCACGTTATTTTCATTTTTGCGATAAATACCTATCAACTTGGCGTTCACGTTGCTCGCGGTTTGAGACAAAAGCATCTCGACATGCGTGGCACATCTTTTTACAGTGCAAGTGGTTAAATAATCAGAATAATTCTGGTTTTTTTATATATAAGCTAGATCTGTTTTTTAAAAGTTAGAAAAGTTACAAACATCTCTAATGAAATATACATGAAATGTCCATGCATTTTTAGAAGGAATTTGACAAGAAAAACTATTCCAAAAAATAATTATTTTCTAACAACTCTGCATTTTGAAACTAATCATTATATGGCAAAATTAAGTAGCAATGTTCATGAATAAAATAACATTTGTTTCATATATTACTTAGATTTCAGACAAAATGGCTTTCTAAATAATTAATTTATGTTGGATTGAGAAGATAAAAGAAAGGACTGAAAACTTTAAATGCTGAAAATAAAGAAAGGACCTTATGCATGAATGAATGGCATGGATATTTAGTTATGAAAAACAGGATAACATAATAAATTAAAAAAAGTTTAACACTTAACTATTTGAATCATTAAAATTATGTTTCAGTTTACAACAACCTTTCAATCAACAATCAAATAATCTTCGACATATAAGGTATGAATGCTAAAGTAAAAAAAAAAAAAAGTTCTTTGTTAACTAAATTTAATACTAAATGCTTAACAATTATCCAAGCACGGCTGCTGTCATTATTAAGAAGTCAAGTAATATCAAGTAGCCCTTCTCATATTAGAATCAAAAGCTACATTAGCTTTTGATTCTGTAGAGGTGTCACGCAGTGAAAACGCCTCTACAGAGTTACGATCAACTCTTCTCCCCAGGTTACGACCAACTCTTCTCCCTTCTCTGTCACCCTTGAAGTTTTATGGCGCCTGAAATACGGAGAACAAAATGCAAATTTCTGACATATTCAACATTCACCATTAAAGCATGGTGAATGTCGACTCCTGATATGCTGAAAATGTAGAAATGTAGTGTATTATTTAAGCAAGACTGGGCGATGATTTTTTTTTTTTTTTTTTTACTTTTAAATGACTGAAAATTGTATCCATTTTTCTTCACAACTTTTATTTTTCGAAATTCCATAGTTAGCTCTCCCCCCCACACAAAAGCATTAATTCTTCACAAATTTGATCCATGTTTATAGTATTATTTGCAGCAATTTCATTATTTTTTTCACCTGGAGCTTCATTTTAATTTACTGTTGTTTATTCCAATAAAAGAATCCGCTCCACTTATTTTACCATACCCATGAAAGAACAACATTTTTCATCATTTTTGGGTGAAAACATCTAGACAGCAACAAGTACTTAGATCTAGATACGAAATGCTTAGACTGACAACAAGAAGTGTGTAACATAGGGGATAGTTAAACTACCAAATTGCCATTCTACTTGAGATTGCACTTTTACTTCTTGCACATTCGCCATTTTTAAAACTTTACCAACCAAGACAAAATGACAAACTGAAATACGGAGAACAGGGCAAATCATCAAACCAGGGAAAACAGAGCAAATCATCAAACCAGGACAGTTCAGTCAAAGCGAGATGTCTGGTAAGCCTGTGTATGTGTGTGATGATTTACAAGATAAATGACATAAAACATACAGTAGCATTTGTGGCCAACTGAACATATTTTATTTCTATACAAAACTGTTCAAGAAGATTATTCTTAATTTGAATTACACAGCATGAAAGGCACATTCTGCGTGCCTGTTCTTGATCAAATTTGTGTTTTTTACATTATTATGACAATACAATTTGTAGAGACATTGGGATTTCTTTGGAAGCAGGAGAAATGAAAAATCTGCAATGCCTTCACCGCAAATCAAACCACGGACCTCTGGAATACTGACCCAGTGTGCAGACCAGTACACCATGAAGGCATGCTAGGAAGCCGAGAGAAATACTTTATACAGTACAAAGTCTTTCATCCGGACGTCCATAATTCAGAATGATCTATAATCCGGATTTCAAAGCAACAAACATGCATAAACGCATGAGCATATGCATTTATGCATGTGCATAATACCTTTACGCATGCCCATATGCGTTTACGCATACACACAATATGTTTACGCATGTGCGTTTAATGTATAATGGGTGGTATAAGCTAGACTAAAATTATCTATTTAAGTTTATGTTGCAGATTGTGTTGTTCCTTAATGTTCTAATTGGATCTGGCTTATTATTTTTTGCAGATTGTCAGAACAATTTTATAAAAAGTAAGCTTGAACTTTCGATTATGTCAAAAAGAGTTTCCGATTCTGGAGCTGCCAAGGATCTACAAAGAGAAAGCATGTTTCGATTGTCCATCAGACAAAAAGTGAATTGCTGCAAAAATGACAAAGGCATGAGAAAGTGACAGAGAGGTTAGTGAAAACGAAAAAATTTTGATTGACAAGTTATCGGTATTCTCGGCACAGCAATTACGGACTTGAACAGCGGAACTTTGTAAACTGACCAAGAAATAATGTCGTTTATAGAATCAAGAGAAGTATTAGCACATAAAACAAGCAACTTAACAACTTACATTGAAAGAAATGTTAAATAATTAAACAAATAAATATTAAAACTTTTTTTTTTTTTTTTTTTTTTTTGTAAATTTTGTTACCCTTTAGATCATAATTGCTCTTTATTTCATAAATTGTGGTTTCATATTTTTAATTTCATAATTTTTGCATGCCATCTTACCAGATTTAAATTGATGATCTATAATCCGGAAAAACCCCTAATACGGAATCGCCGAAGTCCCTACGAGTCGAGATTAAAGACTTTGTACAGTATAACCCTTTTTAAAGGGCGACTGGGGTTTTTTAAGGGACTCAATTGCCAAATCCTGGGTGGAGAGAATAATCCTCCACCCACCCTTTTAGTTCAGGTGCCATTGCAGAGACATTGGGATTTCTTTGAAAGCAGGAGAAATGAAATTTTTGCTATGCCTTCACCGGGAATCGAACCATGGACCTCTGGAATACCGGCCCAGCGTGCAGACCACCACAACACGAACGCATGCTAGGAAGGCGGGAGAAATACCTTATAAATTCATGAAAGAGAAGTAAGTGGCAACATGTTGGCTGAATAGCAAGCAAGAACAAAAATGTGATGTGTCCAAGATGAAAGTTTAATGCTGAATGATTTAGTTTTATTTTAGCTTTGTCCCTAACTGCTACAATTAAGTTTTGGTTTCCAAATTTGAAATCATTATTGGCTGAAGCATTATGTAAATATCAGCATCATGAGCACTATGTAAAAAATCTTGCCAGAAGCATTAATTTTGATATGATGCAATTTAAGGAATTTATTATATGGTGCTACCATTTTGAGGATAGAAAGAAAAAGTAACCAAATTTAAATGAAGAGTTAAGGCTCTATAGCTAGTTAAAACTTTGATTTACATACTTTTGTAACATTTTAACTTCCAATAACATTTTAACCTCCACAAGCAATGTTCAGTTTGTACTATAGTGTGCAAATTAATTGGGACAAAGCAATTTTTTTCACAGAATTTTAAGTTGACTGCCAGCTGGAACCAGTGGGTCCCTCAAAGCAGTTTTATCAACCTTAATGTCATCGGGATGTCTGCTTTCAACTATTTAAAACTGGTTTAGACAATAAATACAATTATTGTATAAAACTGGTTTAGACAATAAATAGGATTATTGTATATCATTTTTAAGTTTGCTTATGTGAGAAAAGAAAGTTACTTTTGCATACTTTTTAAATATTCGTTTCACTTCCTCATAACAGTCTGACATCCATTATTGTAAGAAATATTGCATCTGCAACAGGTGTTGAAAAATCAAGTGCTTCTGAAATTTTTAGGAGACAGAATGAAATTGAGTAATTTTCTCTAGAAAGTAAGAGAAAAGAAAACAACACAGAATTTGATCGATTTTTATTCTGAAATAGCATTATTAATCTAAGAAAAATTAGCAAAGACATTAAAGAAGTCTATTGCTTATTGGTACTGATATTCATCCTTCAAATGCGTGACATAGGCTTCTCACTGCTGGTTGGAAGGCGAAAAAGGCTGATTAAAAAACAACTTTGACTCATGAAATGAAGCACAAGTGATTATTGTGGGCCAAAAAATACAAATCTTGGAGCATAAATGACGCAAAAATGATCATTTTTAGTCATGAGATCCATATACTTATTCATGGTTATATATCTAACATTGCTGTTGAAACAAGGGTGAATCAGCAAAACATCAACATATCCAACAAACATATAATACATTCAAAAACAAATGTATTTGAGTTTTTTCCTGCATATATCACTGGAAGTCTAATTCCTATTGACAATATGATGAATTCATCAAAGTATACAAAAATTTTAAAACACTGTGCCATTCTTGACAACCTTTGTGGGGACACTTCCAACATGACTTGGCTTTATGTCTCAATTCAAAATCTATCAGAAAATTCATGTAGGAAATAAAATTACTGCGCTAGATTAGCCTGAAATTTCACCACATTTAAATCTGATCGAAAATTTGTGACCGATTCTCAAGAAACATCTTAGCAAAATCGATTGTACAACAAAAATTGCACAATTGTTCAGCAAAAAATTGTAAAACCATTGTCCAACAAAAATGTACATAATTAAGAATGCTTTAAAAGTGAGTTTCCATGATTAACAAGTAAAAACTAAATCCTCAAGACTAGTAAAAACAATGCTTAAGTGCATTCCAGAGGTCATTCTGGAAATAAAAGGACA